ATATATATATATAACAGATTCCCGCTATCATTGTTTTAGAGAGTCAAAAGCTGCAGTTGGCAAGTCCAGGAATTTCCCAGGTAATATAAATCGACACCAATGGCTTTAAGGTATTATATGCAATATTGGCACGTTTCCTATTTTTATTACATTTTTACTTGTTTGGGCAAGACAACATATATTGCCCTACTAGCTGCAGTGTTAATGCTTAGCAAATTTTGGTTTCCAGGAGGCACCATTTTCGTTCCTTTGCAAAATCGCCTGTCCGTCTGTCAGTTTTTCAGGCGGATATGATCGAAAGCACAATCTTAGTCTATAGGGAGCCGAATCGAAATGGATATGCGCCTGTTTACATCTGACTACCCCTGACTTCATCTAGGTCTGGAAAACAAAACAGAGTTCCCTTTTGGCTTAGCTGATTGTGATGGATCGGAGGTAATGTGATGTACACGTACATCTCACTCCCCATAGTCCTAATGTAGCCAGCTTGCCTTAAACTGGGTGACTCTTTAAATTTAGTTCTGCTGGACTGTAGTCAGTCTAAGCTGATATAGAAGAACATCCAGTAATGCTGTGTTATGAATAGCCAATCAATAGGAGGTTCATGGCCAGTGGTGCATGCTGGAGGAGGACATACATATTTGGGGTGCACCTTGTGACACTCTCTTCCCCACTGGGGGAGGATGTGTGATGTTATGTGCAATCTGACTAGCCCAGCAGCCTGCAGGTGATTAGGAATGGAGATCCAGTTGAGGTCTGCAGCTGTCCTACCAGTGAAGGAGGAAGCTGTGCCTGGGATGGAGACCCAGGGAGGAACTTTCGTCCATCGAAGGTGCCATAAAAGGCAGAAGTTGGCTTGGACCTCGCAGGAAGTCTGGTGTCTCGTCTCAGAAGTTCTGTGCTATGTCTGCTAACCAGCTAAAGTTCTAAAATACACACTGTTACCGCAATCAGTTTAACCACTTGCTGACCGGGGAGTTTATACCCCCTTCCTGTCCTGGCCATTTTTCAGTATTCAGCGCTGCGGTACTTTGACTGACATTTATTCCGTCATGCAACGCTGTAGTGAAATTAGTTTTATACAATGTTTGGGGACAGATAGAGCTTTCTTTTGGTGGTATTTAATCACCACTACGGTTTTTACTATATAATAAAAAAAGGACCGAAAATTTTGAACAAAAACCTGTTCTCCCTACGTTGTGTTATAAAACATTTATTATTACCAAATTTTTTGGTAAAATATAAAAGACGGGGTTACGTCGGGTAAATAGACACCAAACATGTCAAGCTTTAAAAGTGCGCCCACCCGTTAAATCGCAAAAAAATACCATACTCAAAATTGACCATTGCCGATGCTTTAACCACTTCAAGACCAGGTGTTTAGACCCCCTTCATGGCCAGGCCATTTTTCAGTATTCAGCGCTGCGGTACTTTGACTGACGTTTATTCCTCATGCAGCGCTGTACTGAAATGAA